ATAAAAAAAAAAAATATATATAATAAATATGAAAAGAAAATCTAAAACACATAAATAAGATAATGATTATCTCGACAGTGTTAGTCTCAACAACGTAATCTCGGGTCACAAGATAAAAATTGTCCAATCTAGTCCGGCCCAACAGTACAATCTTGGGTCTCTTAACAGTTTTACTAACAAACATTTTCTCGGCTTTCCATGGTTGGCTCGACGACAATGAGCGTGAACCATTGTAGACGAATCATCCTTTGGGAGTAATGCTAATGTGTTAAGATAATATAAATAAGCATTTGGCCTCTATTACTTGAAGAGATGAGATAAGATGAGATAGGATGGTTTAATACCATGCGTTAGCTTTTGTTCCATGAGTCAGCTTTACTAAAATTATAATTATTTGAATATTCAAGGTTATAATGGACATTATACATGCAATTTTTTTTGACAAAAATGTCAATTTTTGTTGGGATAAAAATATCACTCCCTCTCAAGATGTGATAGAATATCCTGCCAGTCAGTATAGGCGTGTGTCCACTATCTCAATTTCTGTGCTTGTTAGTAAACACAGGATAAGGTTGATTCAAGAATGTTGTCCCATCCTACTCGGGTAAGTAAAAGAGGCATTAGGGATATGATAGTGTAACTTTGAATTATTAAGTAAAAGTTGTTCCTTTAACCCGTACACTTTTGATAAACGAGCTGAAGATTCAAAACGAGCTCTGTTTGTTTAAACTCATGAAACCTCGAGTCGGCTCATTTAACGAACCCATAATCATAAATGAGTTGCTTGCAGTATGATAGTGCGCCCACAAATATACTCGTGAACGAGTTCGACTTTAATTTATTGTTTTGAGACGTGCTCTTCTAAGTAAACAAACAAGCTGAATTCCAACTTTCACGGGACGGATCAAACTATGTTTGTGAACTAACTACTCCCTCCAAATATCATTTCATTGATGAATATATAAATGAACTGTGTTGGTACGAGTGAAAAAAAAAAGAACATAATGAGTACAATACCAGTATGCGAAGGGTACAAGTACGCGGATGCACGAGAAAAAGGGAAAAAAGGTTTTTCGTCCAGTGTTTTTTTTT